TATAGTTAATATAACAAAATAATTACCCAAAACATATTCTATAAAAAAATTAACCTATTTTTGTTAAAATAGTTACATTATCATGTTTTCTCTTTGCTTTAGCACTTATGTATTTGATATACACTTGTTACCTATTAAAAACAAAAATTTCATTATTTTGTACATTGAATGTCATTAACCTTTTAAAATAAAGAAGTTCATTTAAATTTGTATTCATTGAGTATTCGTCTTTTTTGTGTAACTTCAACATGTTACTCAAAACGTTACTCAAAAAAGTCGTTAAAAATGGAGCTTACAAAAATACAAAATGGACTTTTAGAAGGAAAATAGAATTGGTCCACATGGAAATTTAAGGTCTGCACACTTATTAGAGGTATTATTGGAGCTCAAGAAATTGTAGAACGAACTATTTCAGAAATGACACCTTTAAGAGATAAAGCAATAGAGTCTGAAGTTTCTAAGTACAATAAAGAGTTTACTGAATACAGAAGAATAGAAAGCAGTGTAATGATCATACTAACTTCCAATATGACTGAAGATACATTAAAGAAAATAATGCGATTTTCCACAGCAAAACAGATTTGACAAGAACTGCATAGATTGTATGACGGCGCAACTGAAGAAAAAGTATATGAATTATGCTTACAAATTTCTAAACTTAAAAACCTTTGTCATTCAAAAGGAAGATGCAATTGAACTACCACAGCTGCTACTTGTCTGTAAAATTTTGGGAAAATTCCTTTCCTTTTCGATCCAGTTGGATGTTAATGACCAAAATTAATAGAACAGTAGATAACCTAACCAACCAATTGTGTGCCTACGAAAGAGCTTCAAAAGAACAAGACAAGCATATACCAGGAAGTCAAGAAGATCTGCTAGCAAATACATCATATTTTATAAAAAATAAGTTTAAAAATTAGCTATGCAAATATTGTTAAGAGCGAGGCCATAGAGTTAGAAATTGCCCTAAGTGACATGCTGATGGCAGACCTCCTAAGTTAAATACAGACAAATTAAAAGCCAATATGATTTTAATCTCCACAAGTGAATGCTTCAATGCTGAGTCTAATAACATTAGCTGGTATGTAGATAATGGAGCAACAAACCATATCACATACTGTTCAGAGCTATGTGAATCGGTTGAAGCCTTTGGTCAAGGGACAGTAGTTCTTGAAACATTAGACAATAACAAAAAAGACAAGTTAACCCTTTGTGATGTGTGGTATGTTCCACAAATCAAAAAGAATTTGTTTTCAGTTCTATCAGCCCAAGACAAACATTCAAATAGCCATTTTATGTCAACGTCGGTAAGATGCAGTTTGAAAGTAGGGGACAAAACCGTTCTAGAAGGATATAGAAGTCAAGATTCTGGACTATACAAGCTAAACGTTAACAGTAAATTAAAATCTCCTGAATTAAACATATCAAGTCAGTCGCAATTGCAATTATTTCACGAACGACTGCCATCAGAATAAAAGGCATGTAAAAATGATCATGGAACGAAATTTTGGATTAAAAGTAGATAATGAAATATGTGAGGGTTGCGTCTATGAAAAAGCACACAGAAAGAAATTTGGAACAAGGAAGCATGCAACACAACCTGGAGAACGTATACATACTGATGTATGCGGCCCTTTTCTTTTATCTATTTCAGGCTATCGATACATCAAATAAGAGCCTTAGGGCATACAGTTCAAGAACTATTATGCGACAACGGAGGAGAGTTTGATAATCAAAAAGTCCAAGACATCCTTTCCAAATTAGGAGTTAAACAATGATTTACTATGGAACAAAATGGTTCTGCTGAGAGAGAAAATAGAACACTTGTAGAAACAGCTAGAACTCTTATGCATGCTCATGGTCAAATTCCGCAAGGACTTTGGGCTGAAATAATAAACTCAGAAAAATATATTCTTAATCTGAGTGGTTCTTCCAGAATTGAAGGAAAATCACCAACAGAGGTGTGTACAGGAAAGAAATCTAGCTTGAAGCATCTACGGATTATAGAAAATACATGTTACGCCCATAATCCCAAGCAAAAACGAAAGATCTTGTGATGTAACATTTCAAAAAGAACCTTTATCAAACAGGCTAGATTTTCAGTTAGAAATTAATAAAGAACGTGAAGTAGAAAAGAATAAATATGAAGAAATAAAAGAAACCGTTGAAACAGAGACTCAAACGGATCATATCTTAGAAGATAATAATTCGTTAGTAGAAGAATCGGAAGAAGACGCAATTGAAAGAAACGTAATGGAAAATTCAGAAATCAACCAAGATAAAAAATGAAATTTGCGAGACAGATCCAAAATTAAAATACCGCAACGATTTGGCGACTTTGTAATGTCTGCAATAGCTAGTATGGATAACATAATTGAACCATCCTCTTATCTAGAAGCTAATAACTGTTCAGACAAAGAAGAGTGGAAGAAAGCCATGGATAAGAAAATTACGTCTTTAAAGGAAAATGAAACTTGAGACACTGGAAGAACTTCCTGTAGGAGTAAAACCACTTCCAAGTAAATGGGTCTATAAAGTAAAAACGAATCCAGATGGCTCTATTAATAAGTACAAAGCTCGTCTAGTAATTAAAGGATTTGCCCAAAAGAAAAGATTAGACTACAATCAAAGATTTAGTCCAATAGTTAGAACTGGAACTGTAAGACTAAGCATTGCAGCAAATTAAAAGTTAACACTTGGTCAATTTGATGTGTCAACTGCCTTTCTTTATGGTGCACTTGAAGATACTATATCCATGTATCCGCCTGAAGGATACAGTGATAGATCTGACAAATATTGTAGGTTGCAAAGAAGTTCATATGGACTAAAACAAGTGCCTCGTTGCTAGAACCAACGGGTTGTAGGCTTTTTAGAACGCTACGTATTTGTAAGAAGTGAAGTAGATCCCTGCCTTTTTATTAAAATACGTGGTTCAATGAAGCTGCTACTTGCACTTAATGTTGACGATAGTCTTATTGCTACGACTCACCCTAAAGAGTCTTCAGATTTTATTGAAAAACTTAAGTCCGAATTTAAAATCACATTGAAGCCTGCTACTTATTTTTTGGGAATTGAGATCGAAAAAAGAAGAACAGCTCAATCAAAATACACCAAAAGGCATACACAGAAAAAAAATTGAAAAGATTTAATATTGACAATTGTCGACCAATAGGCTTTGAACTATTATCAAAGATTGTTCTCAGTCAGGGAAAGTTGAAGAGAAAAATGAACCTTCTTCGGAGTTTCCCTACAGACAAGCTGTAGGTTCACTTATGTACCTAATGGTAGCCACGAGACCGAACATAGCATACGCACTAGGTGTTGTCTCGAGATCGCTAGAACATCCTTCAAAAGAAGATGTAATAAAGGTGAAACGTTACCTTTAAGGAACAAGGACTATGGAATTACATGCAAATCAAACTATCAACAAGGCGTTCTGGAAAGCTACAGTGATGCTGACCATGGAGGCGATACATCTAGTAGAATATCAACATCGGGTGATGTTTGCCTTTATTCAGCTGGTGCCGTGAGTTGTTTGAGTCAAAAACAAACTTCAGTAGCTATATCGACTACAGAATCTGAAGCAGCTCGAGAAATTGTTTGGCTGAAACCTCTTTTGATGGAAGTTACCCAGTTGAAGGTTATTCCCGAATTTCAACCTCTTTTTGGTGTAACTTCAACAATTTTCTAAAAATAGAACTAAAAAAATTTAAACTAAAAACAATGAATACCATAAATACCATAAAGTTATGAAGCGTGATTGACATCAATACTTCGATACATCTGACTACTCAGCAGTATTATGCACGTCTCAGATCTAAACCATATGCAACAAATGCTGAAATGAGAAAGAGGAAGGATTTGGAGGAGCATAACGAGGTAGAAAATAATTAAATTTTAAAAAAATGGGAGTATCTAAAAAAGCTATGGGTGTGAAGAGTTTTGTTGTGAAAACAAGCATAACCTTGTTGGATTATGTAGAATGTCCCAATAGTTGGAAGTTAATGAACTCATGTTAGGATCCTATACGATCTAAAAAACATCAAATCCATTAATCCATTAATAGTGCAAGAGAAGGTGTCACTAAGTCCAGAAGATAATAAGCGATATATATTAAGCGAATGAATATTAAAATTTGAATTTAAATTATATGTGATGTTATTATATTAGGACTAGCAGAGCAAATTTATGCATTAAATCTAATAGATATTAAACAAATCATTTGCTTATATATTTTACGATCTTTAAATGCATATATTGGAAATCGTCCATCAATAATTCGATACATCTGACTACCTATCTGAAAACATCTACGGGATTCATCAAGTCAACATAATATTAAAGTTCTAAGAGCAATGGCGTTTCGATGGTGGATTATGTAGGTCTCAGATCTAAACCATTTACAACAAAAGTGATGACAACTAATGCTGACTTGAGAAAGATGAAGGATTTAGTAAAAAGTAAAATAAGGAAGAAATTAATCAAATTTTTAAAAATATAGGAGTATCTAAAAAATCTGAGGGAGTAAAGAATTCTGTTGTGAAAGCAAGCATAACCTATGGGGATTTTGTAAAGTATCTCGATAGTTAAATTTGAAATAAAACATCAGGTTCCTTCAATAGTGCAGGAGAAGGTTGCACTATGTCCAGAAGATGATAAGTAATATATAATACCTGGATCTAAAAATACTGACATGGATGTTGTTGAGGATTCACCATTTGAATTTGCTAGAGAACTTTACTCACAATGTTGATAATAGTTGGTCCTGTTTTCTGAACTATTACTGTTAGTTATTTTTTGAATAAAGTTAATATTTACTAAAAAATATTGTCAACCTTCGTCTTAAAGCTCAAGTAAACCTTTGGGTTCATATGGTGTACCTAATGTTTGCAAAAGTTCCCTTTTAACAAAAGTTTTCTTCTATATTGCGTATTGAAAAAAATGGCGTATTTACCACCACACATCCGTATATTCAGGCAAAACGTTCATATGTTCCTTACCTTTTTCATAGAAATTTGCGACAATAAGGAATCCCTGCTTGTCGCCTCCTGTCGCCCCTTCGGCATCAATCTCGAAATATTTGATATCTTCACAAGCGTGCGTCAGGATTTTCTGGAAGAGTTCATACTTTTCAGTTGCCACGTTGTATTTCAATATATCCGAATAGACGTGGGGCTCACCTGAAAGGACAAACCACCCTCAGATATGTTATTAAAGAACGAAATACGAATAGAGGAACATTCACAGCTCGCAGCTGATAGGTACGTACACGAAATTTGATATTAGATAACGATCATAATGTTGAGATTCGCGAATTAGAATATGTTTGGTAATAATTCTAGCGAAGGAGTATATTAAGGCGAGAGTTTAATGGCATTTAATTTTATTTTGATATGAATTTAAAAAAGGTAAAATATAAGTAGCTTACAATTGGTTGACATTTTATAAATAAATGTTGCTGACGCTAATATCAATAATGCAACATTAAAAACTATAAAAATATAAGTATAAACAATTATAAAATGAAGTCATGCAAATAGTCTGTTAATAAACAATTACAATTACGTTGAAACCAGTTCTCAAATCGATGTAATAACGAAGAAAATGGAGAACTTAAAAACAAGCGGACATTTCAAATAATATACCTTCTTTGCCTATAATTTTAGTTTAGGTACTCTTTGATAGATCGAATATAGGTTTAATCAGTTAAAGTCCAAACGGAAGATGAAATGTTTACCTATTTTAAGAGTACCTGTTATTAAAACATGGAAAGATGGACAAATCGCTTTACACTCTGTGCATCTGTGACTAAACCGTTGGAAAATTATTTGTGTGGATGGACAAAATTAATTCATGAATTTGATGTTTTTGGTAAATAACAAATATAAAAAACCTCAATCTATAGAAGGAAAATTATTCTCTAATTTATTTATGTTTATTTTTTAGGTAATTGACTAAAATATCTTGTATATTAAGTTATGAACGTTTTATAAGAAAGAAGAGGCATACTGCATGTCTCAAAAAAAAAATTAAATTCATAAAAACTATAATTAAAATTTGGCAAAAAGGAAAAACATATAAGTTTAGTAAGTAGTTTTAGTTTTGGATTTTCTTGTTTTATTTCATGGAGCTGTGACGTTATTTTGTCTACTTTTCCTTAAAACTGAACAAAATTAAAATTATTAATAATTTGGTTTGGGATTTGTATTTAAAGGGCCTAACTTTTTTTAAATGTGTACGTGAAAACTGACATCTGCGCAGGCGTATTCAAATATACTTCACGTCTACGTAAATACGTAAGCTTACGGGGCACATACTTTGAATACTATACGGTGCAAGATAGAGGTCCAACACGCCCAACATAGGGCGCGGCCATTTTGATTCCTATGCCACAGTTTATAGCTAAAGAATCAGATCGCTCACTCTGTGTAGGCACTTTTGATCTCAATGTTCCAGTTTATACACTGCGCAACTCGGATAATACAATATATGACAACCGCCTATAATAAAACAGCAGTCTTCTGCGTATCCTGAATTTGTATCCCTGGAGTGGATGTTATTTTGGAACTCTCGACTGGTCCTAGTGAGCTAACTGATTCTTTAGCAATAAACTGTGACTCCAAAAATAATATTCACTGACAGCAGCAAGCAAAATATCAGGTGCGTTTTAATCATCCGCTTCTTATCGGTTTAGTCGTTTTAACCTGTCAGATTAAAACAAGAAAACCGACAATTCCGAAGCAGAAGTGGATGATTAAAACGCACCAATTAAAAATATTGCGCCAAGATGTAGGCAACACGTAATAAGGGATCAAAATGGCGGAGTTTTCTATCTCCTTTTAAAAGGCTGCGCAGTGCGACCATTCTCCGTACAGTAAAAGAAAATCAAAATCAAAATTTTATTTAGACATATTTAGGTTAAAAAAAAAACTAAATCCAATTTTAGAAAAGTCGTTCACAGATTGAAAATGTACATAGGTATTTTTTCTCTTACCGTTTAATAACCACAAATTAAGTATAATCAAAAAAGAAAAAATTAAAAAAACGATTGATTACACCGAAACTTGTACCCTCGATCCCTTATCGCCTTATCCAAACCATATTCGCTATTTCTTTTTGCGAGACGTGAAATAACGTTGCAAATGCCAAAGTCAAACGAGTTAATTTTATTTATACAGCGTGTTAGTATATTCGATAGCGAACACTCTACTCCAGAGAGCTCTCGTTAATTGCTACATTTTGATATAGGAACATGAAGCCTTAAAGGCTGTTAAAAGTTTGAAATCAAAGTTAAAAATTTCCCATAAATCACAAACATCTTTAAATATTTTTTAAAATTTGGTGACACTACGGTCTTTTATCATTTATCATGTTAAATAAACTTTCATGCTGTGGTTTTTCTCAACCACTGTTAAAGTCTTACTTTTCCGAAAGAAAGCAATATGTTCAGATTAACGGTTTTAAGTCGACTCAACATCTGGCAACTTCCGGTATTCCGCAAGGTTATAATCTAGGTCCTTTGTTATTTAACATATTTATAAATGATATAAGCAACATTTTAGATACAGATATAAACTTTCTTCTGTAAGCCGATGATTAAAAGTTGTTTTGTCGTGTCGAAACGGTTGAGGACTGTGAAAGGCATTCAGATAATCTGCGACGTGTTAAGGAGTGGTGTCTCAATAACAACCTTTCTTTTAACTCCTCTAAATGTTTTGTAATGTCTTATACCTTGAATCAATTCCCTTTGACTTTTAATTATAGCGTTAACAACACGATTCTTTAAGGACCGGTTACCATCACAGATCTTGGAATTATATTTGATCCTACTTTAGCAATGAACAACCATATAGAATCAAAAGTATTAGCACCGTACAATATATTAAAACTTTTAAGTTTTAAACAAGATGGAGTTTATCCTCCTATAGGTACACCTCATCGTGATCTGCTACTTATTATTATTCTGTGGTATTGCTATTTAAGACAATTCATTTTAAAGTTGATTTTTCATATTTGATTCATAGTCTTAATTTTGTAGTTCCTCGAATAGCTTTCAGGAACACCCGTACATTTTACTTGAATACACTCAAAGCAAATGTTCTCTTAAAATCCCCTATATACACCAAATGTAATAATTATGAATCAGTAAGTTGCCAACTTGATTTGTTTTATATTTTAATTCATAATATTAGGAGTTATTTCTATAACAATGTTCTCTGAAATCTTTAGTTTTGCGTATATTCATGAAATGCTAGGAAAATAATTCTCCTAACTTTTTTTTCTCACCTGGTGTTCAATCAACTAGTATATTATTTATAAATTAATTGTATTTATATATTCTTGTACTCTTACTCTGTAATTGGGTCTTAACCTGTTCAGTAATTTAATAAATAAATATATAAAATAAATAACATAACATCATCCTAGGACACTTGTAAACTGATCCCCACTGACCCTATCTTGAGACTAGAAATTGAACATCAAATCAAGATAGCCAACTGAATTAAATTAACTACAAAAATATTTGCGTTGTATATTATATTGTATATTACGATTACTTGCATCATTATAACCGTAGCAGCACCTAATGCTTAGGGAAACTTGATGGGGGATCTCAATTTATTTTCACGAATTCACATGTATTAACAACTGTCAGATTACCCTAGGTGTTAGGCTTTTAAGTATCCAATGATTTTCATTTCGGGATTTTCACGATTCCCGCGTTTTTTTACGATTGGTTGAATAAGCTTAAGGGATATAAGGGGAAATGGGAATATAATTAATTTTTTCTGAACACTTTGCGTGAAGGTCGTGAAAGCCGAGAAAATTGTTGAAATAAAATCTTATTAGCGGTAATTTATTTTCTATTTCATTTTTGATGTGGGATTTTTAGGTGGTCCTGAAAATCCAGATTTTAATTACGGGCTTTCGTATATCTTAAAACCGAGATGAAAGCCGAAAATCTAAAACACCGAAAAAGTAAATACCCACGCAAAAAATGGTTAATTTAAAAAACAATAATAATCTCTATTCAAATATAAAAACAATGTATCACGTTATCGGGCACGGTGGTGTAGCGGTCTATCGCGCTTATATTCATTTATAGGCAAGTTTATGAGTCTGAGACTGCTGGGTTTCGAATCCCAGACCAGACCATGTGGATTTTTAATTAAATTGCATGGTTCGGTTTAGGATTTGATGTGTGGCGTATTAATAGAAATTCAATTTCTGTTGATATGACATGCAGATTAAAAAAATTCGCCATACATTACCGTCTCGATGATGGTGGGTGAGGTTTTCCGGGTTTTCCTCACCTGTAAGTCAAATGGCACCATCAATCATCTTTAAGTCGCCCCGGAGCGCCACGGCAAATAATAATAGCCGTCCCTTTCCCCGGACAAGCTCAGCTTTTGGGGTTAAAATTCACTCGTAAGGGGGTGAATTAGGGAGAGTATTATTATTATTATTATTATTATTATTATTATTATTATTATTATTATTATTATTATTATTATTATTATTATTATTATTATTATTATTATTATTATTATTATTATTATTATTATTATTATTATTATTATTATTATTATTATTATTATTATTATTATTATTATTATTATTATTATTATTATTATTATTATTATTATTATTATTATTATTATTATTATTATTATTATTATTATTATTATTATTATTATTATTATTATTATTATTATTATTATTATTATTATTATTATTATTATTATTATTATTATTATTATTATTATTATTATTATTATTATTATTATTATTATTATTATTATTATTATTATTATTATTATTATTATTATTATTATTATTATTATTATTATTATTATTATTATTATTATTATTATTATTATTATTATTATTATTATTATTATTATTATTATTATTATTATTATTATTATTATTATTATTATTATTATTATTATTATTATTATTATTATTATTATTATTATTATTATTATTATTATTATTATTATTATTATTATTATTATTATTATTATTATTATTATTATTATTATTATTATTATTATTATTATTATTATTATTATTATTATTATTATTATTATTATTATTATTATTATTATTATTATTATTATTATTATTATTATTATTATTATTATTATTATTATTATTATTATTATTATTATTATTA